TTCTACTCATAATATCATTTTTATGTAAATTCTATCCACTTGAAACTTATATTGAAATTTTCAGGCAGGATTGGAAAATGGCGATAGCCTTGACGCCATGTCCACAATGAATGGTGGCAGTTCAACTTAGACGACGTATAACTAATTTTCTAACAGAGTTCATCACCTTTGATTATAAGAGAGTACTACAAATGTTTTAGTCTGGCGTAAGTACTAATTGTCATATGATGATGCTTATGATTATTAACTCTATGTTGGATAGTATTATGTATGAGAGTTTGTTTTGATTGTTACTAATTTGTGTAGGTACATGGTTTATTGAGTGTTGCTGGAGAATCAGTGAGAAGGAAAAGTCAGAATCATTTCATTCCCTTAGAAATGCTCTACATTGTTAATTTGATTCTTTTCTATGAATATTTTCATGAAGAAAAAGAGCAAATGTATATACTAGATGGAAACTGACTTAAGAAAGTGTAAACTACACCAATCTTCAGGAGAATTCAGATTCTGCAATGAAATTCAACCCCCCCGCCCCCCCCCCCAAAAAAAAAACCAAGTAAAGCTTGTAAAATCTCACAAGATCCCCAATAACTATTAAAATTGCAGAAAACTCCCAACAATAAGTCTCTGCATTTTGCAGATAACTTCCATGACAGCGTTTTTCACATTTTGTGTTGGCAACACATTAACACAATCATATGGGTTATCTTCAAAATGCAAAACTTATTGAGGGTTTTCTGCAATTCCAATAGTTAATGGGGCTCTAGTTCGACTTTAGAAGTTACTGGGGGCTTACTGTAAAAAGCTGAAAGTTCTTGGGTTATTAGTGTAATTTACCCTCAAACAAACTCATCCACATAAAACAGGCAAGCGTACATAATCTTTAATAAACAAACAAACTCATCTTCATATAATCTACATCTCCTTAAGATGATCATAAGACATTAACAAAAGCCAAAGTGGAGGGGGGAGAGCATGCTTAATTTCAAGATGCAATTAAATTTGGATCTCATCCACTACAAAAAAAAAGTAACGATGCTCTAAATCAGGAGAGAGTCATACGCATTTGTTTGTTGAATGTGAGTTTGTATACTCAATTTGGAGATCTATACAGTTCAAATTAAAAATTGAGAAAGATTTTAAAATGGAGTATTTAAAGAAAGTTTGGATTAATTGGGTTGCTGGTGAGAATGTTGATTGCAAGATGGAAAGAGATGTTATTATTTGTTCTGTTATTTGGTGCATATGGCAGGAGCTTAATGATAGACTTTTTTCTAACAAGAAGAAGGGGTCTCTTGAGCTTTTGAGCAAGATTTTGACATTCTCAACCTTCTACTCGAGCGGCTAGGCTTCAAGAGAGAAGAAGAAAGAGGAATGAGCTATCTGGAGCTTTACAAGTTGCTGGAGCTGCAGGAAGAAAGAACAGGAGCATTTGGAAATTCTGTGATTCAGCTGGAATGATGATCTTTGGATGCAGTGTTTTAAATGATGTTTTGATGTTAAAAACTTTTGCTGAGTATGGAACTCACTACTATTTTAGTTTAGTAGTAGTAGATAAGTGTTTTGGGAAATTTAATACTTTGTGCAAAAGTGTGTTTTTGTTTGTTTTGTAAGTTCAGTTGGGATCTGAGTGCACATTTTTGGTTGGGGATGTGTAGGCCTGTCCATCCGGGCCGGGCCGGCCCGGCCCGGCCCGGAAATCCGGGCCCGGGCCGGGCAAAACCGGGACCCGGACCCGGGTACACCGGGCCGGGTCCGGGCCCGGGCCCGACCGGGCCGGGTTCCGGGCTGGCCCGGGTGATTTTCCTTTTTTTTTTATTTTTTTTATTTTTTTCCAGGTTCCGGGCTGGCCCGGGTGATTTTCCTTTTTTTTTTATTTTTTTTATTTTTTTCCAAAATTTTTTAATGTTATTTAACTTATAAATTATAAAAAAAAGACAAGAAAAATAACAAAAACAATAATTTTATTAATTACTTAAAATGACATAAATTACAAATAAGAAATGATAAAAACATATTCTTTATTAATAATTGATAAATCAGTTACAAATTACAAGTACAAATTTATTTTGGAATTAATCGCATCGAAGTCTTTCATCTTTCCTTTTAGGAGGACGTGCTTTCAGTTTTCAAAGCGACGGTAAAATTCTCAACAATTTGTGTGTTTTTTTTTTTTTTTTGAATTGTAGTAACCTGTTGAACTTCTTTTGCTTTCTAGGTCACCTTGACTCAGTCAAGCTAGATATTGGTTTTATTGTTGTAATTTAAAATCTAAGCCTTTCACACTAGTAGAAAAACGATCAACCTAGACGGAAATTTCCGTCTAGGTTGATTGCAAATCCGTCTAGATTAGGTCATCTAGACGGAATTCCGTCTAGTTTGAGTGGTTTATTTTGTTTCCGTCTAGATTGCTGCAAACTAGACGGAATTCCGTCTAGGTTGATCAATCTAGACGGAAGTCCACCTAGACGGAATAAAGAATTCCGTCTGGGTTGTCAACGCAGACGGAATTTCTGTCTGGGTTGTCAACCCAGACGGAAATTCCGTCTAGGTTGGTTTTTTACAACGAATTCCGTCTGGATTGTCAACCCAGACGGAATTCCGTCTGGATTGTCAACCCAGACGGAATTTCCGCCTAGTTTGATTCAAACTAGACGGAATTCCGTCTAGGTTGGTTTTTAACAACATAGACGGAAATTCCGTCTAGTTTGATTCAAACTAGACGGAATTCCGTCTAGATTGCCTTTTTACAGTGAAAAAAATTAATTACAATTTGTATTTCCCTGTACAATTACATTAATATTTGAATACATCCAGAAAATACTGTACACGCCACATTCAACTATCCAATCATAATCAAAATTCATAACAATTCCATTCAAAAACATCTATATAACCAAATCCAACACATTGTACAAATCCAACCATCCACTTCAAAATATACATCAATCAGTTCCGTCTAAAACACATCCAACAACATATATACTAACAATGCCAGTGACTAAGATATGATACACGACATGAATAAATGTAGTGTTATAACAAATAAAACTGTTTATTGCATTAAAAATAAAAAAACCTCATCCATCGTCGTCGGCGGGGGTATCTCTATCCCGATTACGAGAACGGGTGCTGCTCCCTCCAATATCTCCACTCTGAATGTTTAATTGAATAATCATTATGTGGTGTTTGATAACATATTAGATAAAAATAAATTTATAAATATAAGAAAAAATAAGGTACCTGAGCACTACTCTGTCTAGCGCCGGAATTATCGCCAATCGAGCTAATGATCCGTATGACACCACCATACGCGCTATAAGGAATAGCACCGCCTAAATATTGTATAACATACCCCATGAGATCGTCCATCGAGTTCGCCGTCAGCGCAACTCTAGTCATCTCATTAGTCACCTGAATATGCAGCTCCGGGTCAATTTTGTCAATCAAGAAGGCAGAGATACGTGCGACAAATGGCATAGCCTGGAAACTGCTTGTGGCTGCTCTCGTCGATGTAGATGGTGTGGAGGATGCTGTGGACGATCTGATGCTTATACCAGGTGAAGCTCCGACACCATGTAGAGGATATCTTCCTCTCCTATTATTAGGGAGAAATAAATATTAAACTTTGCTCTCAAATTCAATAATGGTAAACAAATATAAATAGTATGTAGTATTCAAATTGATTCGATTTTTCACCATCCTTACCTATTATGACCCATCAGGTTCTGTGTGAGATTGATGTTCTCCTCTGCAGAAAGCATGTGAGGGTCTGGCTCGGTTTGTTCCTCCTCCTGCGAAATGTAGACAGATGCAGCCTCCTTGGATGCGTTCTCAAATCCCTCCTAAAGCACAAATTTATGGTTAATTCAAGATAATGACTATATTATTTGTGTTCTCGTTTCCTCGTAATGTTAACAAAATAGAATTAATAATACTACTCAAGATATGTATAAATCTCACCACTAACTCGAGATTTTTTGTGATCTTATCCCGATTCCTCTCATCACCCCTATATTGTTCACGAAAAGTACCATATGCCGCTCTGGCCCTCAAGTGTATCGGCATTAATGATTTCCCCTGTCATATTATAAATTATGAGATTTCATAATCATACTAAACATTAAGATCTTTTAAATCTTTAAATGACATATACCGTATCTTGACAATAAACATCCTCCAGATTGGCGTAGGAGTGTGAGCCCAAGTGATGGTCATGCAGCTTCTTTCTTCTATTTTCTGACCCCTTCGTGGATTTATTCTTTAAAAAAAATTCTGTAAATATAAAATGAAATAATATCTTAAAATTATAAACTAAATTTCATGAAACTAACCTTAGCGGCATCGCTGTCCCAATACATGAGGAGAGCCGTGAAATGAATCTCGTCAACTCGGCGGCCCGGCCGGGCCCGGGCCGAGCCCGGGCCAGCGGGTAAAATGGACAGCCCTAGGGATGTGCACATTATATGTAACAACCAGTTTATGTTAATTTAACTGGCTGGATTACTGTTATGGTAATCCATCTTTTTTGTCAAAAAAAAAGTAGCAGAGAGACCACTATTTTAAATTCCAACCGTTGATTATCTGCGGCCCGGCCGGGCCCGGGCCGAGCCCGGGCCAGCGGGTAAAATGGACAGCCCTAGGGATGTGCACATTATATGTAACAACCAGTTTATGTTAATTTAACTGGCTGGATTACTGTTATGGTAATCCATCTTTTTTGTCAAAAAAAAAGTAGCAGAGAGACCACTATTTTAAATTCCAACCGTTGATTATCTAACGGGTGATTGTAGTACATTCTAAATCTAACACTCACGGTACCCGTGTTTAGCACTTATTCCAAAATTACACTCAAAGATAAAATCATAAACTAAATAGTCAATGGTTATGATTAAGTAATAGTCTCTCCACTATTTTTTTTTAGTAGACAGGATCTGAATCCGATGTCATTATGCATATATAGAAAGATAAGTAAAAGATCAATTGTTCTCCCATAAAGACAAAGAAATGCCAGAAAATACAAGAGAGGGCCTCTGGGATAAGCCAACTTTAAACCATTGGATGATCAGAATCTTTTAGATATTAATCTTAAATGTCTTCAAGTTAAGATCATAATACCTACTATTGTTCATACATAATTTTCTGCTAATAGATAGTGTAATGCCATAATACAACAATAAGTTTTGATTCTCTGTTTATCAGTAAGCTACTTCTGGTTGGCAGAGACATAAATGCAGTTTAAAATGTGCAAAGCATAGCTCTGCTATTTATACTGAACACTTGCCAATAAGAGAGAATGAACTTTCCTAATAAGGATGAAAGTAAAGTAGTCAAGACTGAGCTTCAGTCTATTATTATTCACTAGATTTTCAACTGCCCCCTCCTTACAAATCCCATTAATTAATAATAGGAGAAAGAAGTGCAAAGAGAGAGAGGGGGGGAGAGAGGGAGAGAGAGAGAGAGAGAGAGAGAGAGAGAGAGGATGAGCACTCCAAGCTTCAGTGAACACAGCAAGACCACAGGAAGAACACACCAGTTCAACAAAAGAATAAAGCCTGATGCTGAACTCATCAATATCTCAGTTTGGGGCCAGGTTTCTACTCTAACCCTTTTCTTTTTTCTTAGTTTTGAGTTGGATTCAGGCTCAAATAACCATTTAATACAGTGATCATGTCATGAGCACACAAGCTAAAATTTTACATTAAGTTGACATTTTGCAAAGTTTTATTTATTTTGTTAACATGTCCTTTGATATTTCTGTTAAGGTAACGGATAAGAAAGGAATTGTCATGTCTTAGAGATTTACGTTGAAATCTTGCTAGAGATCTAGTTGTTTGGGAGTTCCTTTTTTTTATCTTTTTTTTTTCTCAGAGGGGTTATATCACTAGTAGCTGAAATTGTTATATTTTTTGTCTACCAATTTGTTTGACATATCATCAAGAGCATTGCAGGCAATGCCTTCCCAATATTTGACCCTTAAATCTTTCATAATTCGAATGAGTTTCTCAAATCATCGGAATTGCTATCTAGTCCCCCAGTTTTATATGTTGTTTCAAAATTAGTCCCTCAAATCGTTGAAATTGTTATTAGGTTGCCCAATTTCATAAGTTGCTTCAAATTGATTCCTCCCTCTGATTGCTGCTTGTAATCTTGATTGAAGGAAGTAATTACAAAATATCTTAAGAACAGGGGGGCCTAATGGCAATTTTAATGATGTGAGGGACTAGTTTTAAACTAAAATAAGAATTAGGGGACTAAAGAGCAATTTCAATGATTTTTGGGACTAATTTCAGAATATTAAAGATCTAAGGAATAGTATTAAAAAAAATCCCCTAGATTTTATAGCATTGTAGGGCCGCAAGAGGGGTAGTAAACAATTACACTAACACCCACAAGATCAATACAAGACAACCAATCTTCAAGACCCAAGTTATATCTGATAATTTTCACCAAGCATTATGAAATAGGCAGAGAAATAGAAGCATGCAAACAACACACGATTTATACGTGGAAAACCTCTTCAATGTGAAGAGTAAAAACCACGGGACTGGAGGAGTACACCACTTCTTCTCTTATTATGATAAGTTGAGGGTAAAAGAAACCCAAATCAGTCTCACAAAGTTTCACAACCCACCAACAGGAACATACATAAGAGATTCATTATTTGAGGAACAAAAGTGAGAAATATCACCAAAACACAGAGGTTCTGTCCATCTGCAATACTCGACGATCCGGAGCTCACATCGACGATCCAACCGTTCAGATTGAAGCCCTATGTGTCCCCAACAAGCTGACCAAGTTTCAGCAAAATCGGACCATGATTGCACCTTGATCGGACGACTTGATGAAGACTGGTCCTGAGAATCCGAACAGTGGCAGCCTCTCTCAAACCCTCTGATTTTCTCTCTTTTTCTTCTGCGTGGAAGATGATCAGTCCCCAACAGCCCTCTTCTGACTTATTGGGATACAGCTGGCCCTCTCTCAAAGCTTCTCCAAGAAGCTACAAACCTTACTCATAGAATGGGCCACAACAAATAAGTAAGTTTTGGGCTTGCAAATTAATATTTGCCACAAAGTGGGCTGGACCCACAACAATAGCCATGTCCTGGCCAAAATTTCTTTGACGGGTAAAACAATTCCTTGAACAGCTATCTGTGAGAAAGAGTTCATTTACAAGTAAACAAACTCAAAGGATGTATATTAATAGAAGAACCATGTTGAGCCAAAAATTTGACAAAAGGCAAAACATATAGCTTTCACTACTTCTTTCTGATGCAGGAGCATGCGAATTTAACCGACAGCCCAATTTCATGATAATATATGTATGGATAGTCTCCATGTATCAGATACACAAGACACAAACCACTAATTTTGAAAATGCTAGTTTAGACTTTTAAATGTCATTTATGAGAATTCCGATAGTTCAGGGGGTCTAATATAATTCTGAAAGTTCAGATACCTATAAATTCTGCGAGGTTTTGTGAATTGTGACGTCCATTTACTAGATTTTGGAAGTTAGCATTTTATATATGTTCTCATTTGCCAGGATGGTTCTGAGGTCTGTTTCAGAATGAAGAAATCTACGAAACTCCACAAACTCATGGCTGTCTACTATCAGCAGAAGGAAATCCAGATCAATACGCTCAGGTTTCTTCATGAAGGCCGACCCGTTAGGGGATGGGATACTGTTGCTAAGGTATAATATGTGACATTGTGGATGATCCGCTCCGTTGAACTTGATCCATATATTCTAAAACCCTAACACACCAAGTTTGGGGTGAACCCGTCGTCGTTTGACTCTTCATCCACTCATATCAATTTTAACGGTTTTGAATGAATAGAACTTTTCACATGGCTCGATAGAGGATCAAACGACGACGGATTCACCCCAAACTTGGTGTGTTGAGGTTTTAGAATATGTAGATCAAGTTCAACGGAGCGGATCATCCATAATATCGCTCAATCATGTGATTTTAGAGGCGTCATAGGAGGAAATCCCCTCCTATGATAAGGATACCCATTAATCTCCTTTTTTAATGTAAACATTCTGATCTTAGATTATGTATATTGAATTTTGCAGGCAGGATTGGAAGACGGCGATAGGCTCGATGCCATGTCGAGCATGGATGGTGGTGGTTCAATTTTGAAGACAAGCAAATGATTTTCTAGCAGAATGCTAGTGCTACAAGTGTTTTAGTTTGTTGTTAAATCATGGTTTCTTGAAGTTTCAGTATTTGTGGGTCAATTGGAGTTGGCCAATAGTAACACTTAAATGACTATGAACTCTATTTTGGGTAGTTTTGTGTCTGGGAGTATCTTCTTCTGTTTTTACTAATTTGTGTATGTGAGAAGTTACTTATGAACTCTATTTTGGGTAGTGCTCATTTGATTCGATTACAAATGCTCTACATTGTTAATTTCATTATTTTCTATGAATAATTAAAGAGCACATCTATGTAGACAGAAAAAAATGGATCAAAAAAAAATCAAATGAAACAACTTGCTTTTTTATCTCTTTCTTTTTCTGTTTCATCTGAGAGGAAGCCTTTTATTTTTCTTTTTTTCCCCCTAACTTGTGTAAAAACAGCATGTACAGAAGTATAATTTCGCCATCAATCGTGAGAACCGAGAGCAAAACACACAAATGAAGTTAAAACAGGCAAGCACACATCTCATAACAAACAAAGGGTTAATTGTAGATAGACCCTCTGTAGTCTCTACTATCACCCATTGTAGATAGATCTCCTGTAGTTCTATTGTTGTAGACAGACCCCCTCAGTGGTACTTTTTTAACTCCTCAGGAGTTCTATTTGCCGAAAAAGAAAAAAAAAATTCTCTTTTCCCAAGGGTAAAAGAGTCAAAAATTCACTCATGGGTTACTCGCAGTGACAGCTGCATGGTATCCAGAAATGTGCAACAGTGCAGCGGTCTATCTGCAATTAACCCTAAATCAAATTCCCCAGATCATATGATTCCTCACTCATGAGACATTTGACAAAGCCAAAGAAAAGAAATCATGCTTAATTTCAAAATGCAATAATAGCATATATAGAAAGATAAATTAAGATCAAATTGCTTGTCCTTCCATAAATACAAGGAAATGCCGGAATTAGAAGAGAAGGATCCGGCATAAGCAGCTTTAAGTCATCTAAATTATATCAGTTTCTTCCTACCAATTACATTACAAAATGGAGGAGCTCAAATTCATTAGAGCGAGCTTCAACTCATATACTAAGTAGGGGGGAAGAATCTGTTGAGATTAAATGGAAGCGTATAGAACTCCTCGTTCCTGTTGTCTCCTCTGAACGTTCGGAATTTTACCCACCAAGGCATGCCCCTGTCCTTTTTCGACTTCTCCACATCCAAAGTGTTGTCCAAAAATACACCAACGATTAGTCCAACAGTTGGCGGCGACATAAATATGGTATTTAGAAATGAGTTGAACTGCAAGAAACAAAATCATTGTTATGTAAGTTTCAACTTCCAACATTATTACAGGAGACTAAAAACTTTGGCAGTGAAAAAATATCTTCCTATTATTCTTTAATACCAATATATGCAACAAACTAAGATAAGCTTCCTGTCTTGATCATGGACCTGAGCCATGAAACCACTAATCATCAATTTTTTTTTTTTTTGCAGAATTAACTTGGATGGGCAACAAAATTTTAGTTTGCTTGATGTTCTACCTTATCAATTTAAATAGTTTGTTAAGCTTACTGAAGAACCATCCCTCTTTTGCTATAAATAAATTAGCTAATAACAAATCCAAGCAATATGAGAATGTTTTATATATATAATGAGAATATATATATATATATATATATATGATGATGATGTAAGTGACTAACCCATCCTGCGCGTGTATTTACAGGGCCATGACCAGAAGTACTGAAAGTGTCACTGAAATATTGAGGAATAGATATCCCAAGGAACAGCGAGAGTCCGGTGATCATGAGATTTCTCATCGAGTTCATATTTGTGAACTGAAGAAACGAGATCCCAACAGATGCTACCAAAAAGATAACAGCAAAAGATAAGAACAACATTACACATGAGCTATTTGTGAACTGAAGAATTGAGATCCCTACAGATGTTGCAAAAAGAAAACATAACAAAGGAAAAGAAGGTGAATTGCATAAACTCCCTCCATCTATACCTTCAGGTGCACTAAACACCCTCAAGCCATTTAGTAGTACATAGGCCACCTAAATTCGTAAGGAAGAGAGGCATCGCAATTATCTTTCTAAAAATATCATTTCATGGATGTTGAGTACTAGTAAATGAGTTGTTTTGGGGTGTTTTTTTATTTTTTATTTTTTTGGTTTTGGGAGGGGGGTGTTGGGGGTGTTAGCGTTAATCAAGGTAGAGATGACAGGGTTATGTGCAATTTACCGAAGAAAAAATTATAACAAAATTACACATGAATATTGAAATGATGACACCCCTTACCAACAAGACCGAAAAGCACACAGTACAATGCAGCAAATATCGGGAAAGGAATTGATGCAAACAAAGCTCCAAATTTCCCTGTAATAACAGAGAAAATCATATCAAATAGCTAACAAAGTAAAATATGCAATGTGCAGAGAAAAAGAAGGGGAGAAACCTAGAATAGAAAAGAATATCATGAACCCTGCTGATATCTGAACAACTCTACGGCTGCCAACTCGAGTTAGACCAAGAAGCCCCACGTTCTCCCTTAAATTTTATAGCACCCACTGTCATGGTCAATTCCACTGTCATCTAGAAAAAAGATATCATCTTTACAAAATGCAA